TGCAATAATATGTAGGATATTTAAGGAATTATTCTATAAATCGTACACTTTAGAAACACGATTACTTGTAGTTTCCTCGATGGAAAAAAAATCCACAATGATCTCTAAAAAAACATAATAAACCCTGATTGCGGCGTAAATAATTCAAGGAAGTTCATCAGGTTTTTAATAATAATAAAACTATACGTTTTCTATAAACTATACACGTTACATATTCAAAATGTGTATTTGTTTTAATAATACGAAAGAAATACCTAAATTCGCACGCGTTCCGTCCGTCCTAGCCCCCCCCCCTCCCCTCCCCCTGCCCGCTATCGTCCTACTAAAATAAAAAACTCGGTGCCCCCTTAATGCTCTTTAGATCTGCTTAATCGATTAAATCCAAGCTGTTATCGTTCATTGCTCACCAACGGATTTGTTTTTCATAGAAATATTATGGAATTTAAAGGCAGCTGTAATCTCGTGATAACGCGCTCGCTTGGGAAACCGAGTGAAGTTAAATCGAATTCTAACTTCTGATATTCTCATGATCGAATAATTTTTAACACGATTACCTCTTGTCTTACGATGAAGGAAAACATCGTAAGGAAAGCTGCTTGTCTGATTAAACCTAGCAAGTTTTCGGAAGATATGCTCAGTCCACCTTGAACTTGGCCAGCGTGGTGGACAATGGCCTGAACCCCTCGCATTGAAGATAGCCCACTACCAGAAATGGGATGTTAATAAGGGCTAAACGTGAATGTAATTTAGTGAAGTTAGTGTCGTGGTCAGCTTTGGCCGTGTGATCAAAAACATTACCGATAAAAAGGTTTTTTTTTATTTCACTCCACACGTAATTGCAACCAAGATACTACGAGATACTAGGGCATGAGTACGGTGGCGTCGCGTCATGGCGCCGTCATTTCTCGATGAATCTTTTTAAATAGGCCAAATGAGTAGAAAAAAGGAATAAGAATCGATATCTCATTTCGCTTTCGAAATATCGAGATTTGAATTTGTCAGTTCTACATCATATGTTATACTAAGTTCACAAATAAAGCTAATAAAAGTGTACACTAATTGTGTAAACTTTAAACTAACTTTTACTATGAAAGGGCTGTATCTCATGAACCGTAATAAGTAGAGAGTTGAAATTTTCACAGAGTATGTATTTCTATTGCCGCTATAGCAACAAATAATAAAAATAAAAATACAAGAACCATTTTTTTAATGTCCGTAATCGATCATCGAAGTAATATACTACATAGTACATACATAGAGGCAGTAACTTGTAATTATATACCTATAACTTTTAATGCTCTTTGACAGAATTATCTTTTAGATATTGAACTTTGAACGAAACCGTAAGAATTTTCTAATTGTTTGTACAAAAACAAGTTTGAACAGGAAATGTGGATTTTCCACTTTAATAAATAAAATGGCCTTGTAATCGTTGAGTTTTGTTTTGAAATAATAGTAATTATGGCGGTTGTCTAAGTACAGTAAGAGTCGATCCACACTATTGTGCTGGTCACAGTTCGTTCTCGGTCCGATATCGGTTTGGTAAAGTTTTTTTATACAAGAAACGTTGTTGAAGTGTAATGCAACTGGAACGTGACACTTACTGATAGTGCCATGCACTCATTGTTTCTTGTACAAAAAATATCTTTACCAGACCGATATCATACCGAGAGCCGTGAACCGTGATCGGCACTATAGTGTGAATTAGTCCTAAAGATCCTTGGTGTTTGTGGCAACTGTGTTTTACTGTTTCCTAGTAGATTAATTACTTTTGATTGGTTCAAATTTCATCAGAATGCGATATAACTTTGAAAAGTTGTGGTGTACGCTAAAGTTGCTGATATAATACAATTAAATTGGTATAATAAGTGAGAAATTATTATTATTTAAGCCTTTTTAATGTCCCATTGCGGGGGGTGGGTCTCTCTTTAATGTGGGGAGATCAGGTCATAAGTAATCACGTTGGCCAAGTGTGAGTTTGGGTACTTCTCTTAAATTGCAGGTTTTATTACCATCCCCCCCAACGTGCGTTCACCTTGTCGTGGTGGGGGGGCTCAGAAGTGCCCGGCAATCCAACCGGGCGCGAAGCTAAGAAACGCACAGGGAGGTTGCCCACTTCGGTGGGCGGTGGGAGGTGGCCCTCTTTGGGGGGCGGTGTACCATGCGGGTTGCTCCTGGTACTTCTCTGATAGCAGAGTGGACTGTGGAGCAACCCCATGGTGTGGTGGTCTGCTTCGGCAGACCTGCCGTCGGGGCGTCGTAGTTGAATGCGCAAGCGATCCTGCGACGCCCCATTCAGACGGGGGAAGGTTTTGTTGGGTTTTAGTGGGTAGTACTGGCTGTATTACGCCGGTGAGTCCCACACGTCGTGCGTAAATGCATTTCCCAACGTTAAAAAAAAAAAATAAATAAAAAGGTTTTCTTACCATGTTTTTTTCATCGTATAGCAAGTTGTAACACAGGCTCTAGATGTAGGAATAAAATTTTTAAAATTTATTTTTATTTTATAATCTATTTATTTATCTATACATGTAATAAAATTCTAACCGAGTCGAATGTGTACATTAAATATTTTTTTTAAATCTTATTGAAACAGTCATTATTATTGATACAGAGGCCGAATCTATAGTTTTTAGATTTTTTGTCTGTCTGGGAACGCATCACGAAAAACTACTGGACAGATTTCGATGAAATTTGGTATGTTGATAGATCTGGTTATCCGGGTCAACATATAGGATACTTTTTACTGCGGGAAAATAGCTCGTCTCTAAGAAATATATACTAACCGTTAAAACTTAAAACGTATCTAAGGACGAAACCGAGCGGAGCGACTATAACTATCTTTTTTTTCACAAAAAAAGTCCGAAAGGATCTTTCTGACAAATCCTAAATAATTTTTTTAAAACCTTGGAGTCGCTGGTGGCCCTTTTATCGCCTTTTAAATTATATATAAAACAATATTAGGTAAATAATTAATATTTTTAATTTTTAATATTATTTATGGTTATACATAATATAATAATAACAAAACTAAATAACATTATTAATTAATAAACTTTTTTTTAAATTGTAATAGTTATAATAAAAACAGCAAAAATTAAATAAATAATGTTGCTATATTTAATTATATTTATTAATTTCTTTTAAATGTTTAGAAATAAAAATCAACAAATATAGTAAGGTACTTTATTGCTATTTTTTGAATTTTTTGAAATCATTTTTGTAAAATAGTGGGTAGGCACTGTCTGTAACAAGTATGTGCTTGAGACGTCTATAACCTTTGTATATCTATAAAAAGATAGTTTTATTTAAATTTTTATTTAAAATGTTATGAAATTATATATGTATGTGTATATATATATATATATATATATATATATATATATATATATATATATATATATATATATGTAGATGTAGATTATATCTAAACTATTACTGCTCTTGATTATTATTTACAAATTAAACATAATCCACTTCAACCGACTTCAAGAAAATGGTACCAGATTCGGCTGTTTTTTTTTTTTTTTTTAATTTGAGCCGATTTTCCTCTGACATGTAGATCAGAGACCTTTTTTACAATATTTTTGTTTACATAGTATTTTACCTTAAGGGTATGGGTGGATTGTTTACAATGTAAATTTTCTATTTCTAAATTACTTTTAACATGGGCCTTATTTTATTACAATTTTTGTTATATCTAAAGTTCTTACATGGGTTGTTACTTATTATTTTACTTACATTTTTATTTCTTATGATTTATACATTTTTAGTTATTCTATATCTTAGTTTTATTTATTTTAGTCTTATGTACTATTTTTAGGTTGCTTTACGACTTTCTGGAGTTTGTTTCCATTCGGTTTTTGTCTATTGTTATTTTACACAGTTCTTATTGCTATAATATCTTATTATTATGTACATTTTATATATTGTTCAACAATATGTAAATATACTATTTTCTTGCTTATGCTATTTATTTACTTATATATATGTACTGTTTTATGGTTTTTATATGTTTTTTTTTCTTTTTTTTTCTTTTTTTTTTTTCGAGACTGATTTTTTACTTTTATTATTTACTAAGAGTCTGTAGGGGTTATATGTGCCGTCTGTTGTAAACGCGTTATGTAATTAATTACACTTCACGTTTGCAGTGGTTGGGATTTGTTGCTTTTTCGACGATCTGCTGCGGTGTAAGCTAAGCTTGCTCCGTGATATCTTTATGATATCATGCAATTTTCGCGTCTGACGCATTTTCTGCTAGTGTGGTTTTATTTTTAATAATAGGCAACGCTAGAGCGTGCGAGGGCGTCCCATTTTTTCTCACCGGACAGTGTGTGTCAAAGCTGTTATGGTCCGTTCGTGCACACTTTGCCTGCTGGCAGTTCCTGCACGTGGGCTCCTCACCTGCCAGCAGGCTTGGGCATTCGGTGTGCATGTGTGGGCCGGCGCAGTGGCTGCACAGATCGACTGATTCGGTGCACCACTTCTTGCCGTGCCCAAAGGCGAGACATCTCGAGCACTGGATGAGAGGGGACAGGTCAAAAACCGAGACCCTTTGGAATTCCACGTACAGTTTGCCCGCAGTTGTCATCGCTTGCCACATCTGTGGCGATACCTGTAGTACAACGTGGTTTTCCGTGGGGTCTCTGGCTCTCCTCCTATGTCGGACCTTCATTACCAGATTTGGCTGTAGTTTTTATGTTACGATAGCTTCGTTATTGTGATTTATAAATCGATTTTTATGATATTTTTTATAGAATAAGTCCTCAATGGTCAAAACCCCTAAGAGTAAATAAAGACTTTTTACTAATTTTGTAATCGATTTTTACCTTTTTTTATAAAAAATAATTGTTATTGTTACAGATTAACTAACGCCAGCCAAAATACAAGACTGATTATAATTTTCGAAGAAATGTAGATTGTGACATTCCAAAGAATATGATAGATAATTAAAATATGCGCCATTTTGTTACCGTTGGCCATTTTGATTAGAAAACAAGATGGCGACGCTGCCGCCCGTCCGTTCAGAAAAGGATTTTATAGATGAAGCCGAAGAGAAACTTCTAGAAAGGAATGAAGTGAAGATAGTGCCTGGTGATCGGGAGGAGACCGGCTTAGTGTCTATAAAGTCTTCGAAAAAGGGTGAGTTCTTAAAAATAATATAAATTAACCTTGTAATTATGTTCTCCTGAGTGATTTCGGCCACGGCGGCCAATCTCACTGAGACTAGCCAGTTAGTGCAGCACAACGTGCAGGATGTTTGAGGATACTTCGACACGAACGTTGAGAGTTAAGACTCAAGATCGATGGATTTACGTGCTCTCCGAGGCACAGAGGTGCAACACCGTCAGCTTCCTAACTCCGGGCTAAGCTCGGCCCCACCCCGGGAATCGAACATAGGACCTCCGTATCTGCGACCGTACATGCTAGCCACTGCACCACCAAGGCAGTAACTTGTAATATACCTACATAATACTCGTATATCTATTAATGCTCTTTGACAAAAATTATATTCTAAAAATACGCACGGTATGTACGTGCATATTTTTAGAATATTTTTTTTCTTTAATTTGTGTAATTTGAAACATAGATTCCTTCAAATTAACACTCGAGAGGTATTTAAGTGATCAATAATTTGATATTTAGAAATACTTTTGCGGTTTTTTACTTTAATTGGATATTTTTAGCGAACGAGAACAAATCTGTCCCACGGAACCGTACATTTTCCTGGGATGATATATAGCTTATAGTCTTCCTCAATAAACGGGCTATCTAATGAAAAAAGAATTTTTCATATCGGATTAGCAGTTCCTGAGATTAGCGCGTTCAAACAAACAAACAAACAAACAAACAAACAAACTCTGCCTCTTTATAATATTAGTATAGATTTTACTAGTGATTTACCCTCGCTTCGCCTGGGTGCTTTCATCAGTACGTTTTAAATACATAAAAATAGTTATTGCGAGTCTACCATAGAAGATAAAGAGATAGACATATTCTATTGCAGACTTTTCTGTTGGCTTTTTTAATACCTACAATTTTCTAGTACATTGTTTTGATGTATCTCTTAAGGTTTAGCCCAGAATATTTAAGTTACTTTATGGTTTAGCCAGCGTTAGACATGTAAATTTCTGAAGAGACTCGATAGAATCAGTTATTTTGTTTTAGCATGGGAATGAAATAAAAGATATCTATACTAATATTATAAAGAGACAGAGTTTGTTTGTTTGTTTGAATGTGCTAATCTCAGGAACTACTAATCGGATTTGAAAAATTGTTTTTACATTAGATAGCCCGTAAAGAGAGCGGAGCAGTAATCATAAATGTCAATAAATCGGACAGACTTCCATATATCATTGTAAAACCGATGTTTATATCGGAAGTTTAAATGCGGGCGAAGCTGTGGGTACTCTAGTGCCGTAATAAAATAGTAACAAAGCGGTATCTAATTAAAAACAATAAGTAAAATTGAGGGTATTTCAAAATAGCACTCAGTGTGTCATTTGTCCTCCTGAGTAAAAGTGTTCTGTGCATTTGTCAGACCCGTACAAGATACGTGGAGCCGTTTTCGGATTGTTTCTCTCATTTTATATCATCATTAATAAATTTTAATATATTTCTCATAATATATTCTCAACATTTTGTTTTGTGTTAAGATCATTCATACATATATATTATATATACTTTATGTGTTTTTAAGAAAGTAGTAGACAGTGTTGATAATGTCACAAATCAAATATGAAAGGATTGATGCGAGTAAGTTTATTGCTTTATTTTTGTACTAGTGACTCAACCTTGCTCCGCTCGGGTTCGTCCCTAGTTATGTTTTAACGTTTAGTATAGATTTGTCAGAGATGAGATATTTTCCCGCAGTAAAAAGTATCCTATATGTTGGTTGACCCGGATAACCAGCTAGCTATCATTATACCAAATTTCATCAAAATCTGTAAATTCGGCCTCTGTATCGATAATAATGACTATTTCAATAAGATTTTCCAAAAAATAATTTAATGTACAGATTCAACTCAGAATTTTATTATATGTATGGATGTTAGCTATTTATAGCAATGTATATAATATGTGACACTGTCACGAATTTTTTTGCAGAACTTATAAAGTTCTTTGAAAATGAATCCCAAAATGCCGATACTTAGCTTTAAATACATAGGTTATTCATTACCTATCTATAGAGCATCGATATACAAAACTCACGATACACAATGAGCGTCTCAGAAGTGTCCTCAAAAAGAAGTGCACAATTCGAAACTGCGTTTTTTTTAAATCTCCTTTGTTCATTGCTTTTCGGATGACAAAATTAAAACGCTCGTTGTTTCGTTTAAAAAAGTACTTTACGTGGTGTGCGTAAGTTCGAATTTGTGTTTAGACAATTAGAACTTTCCAGTTTTGAATGCTATTTGGTTTAACTTAAAGTCACATGTCGATGCCACTATTTGAAGAAATATTTGTTAGGAAATGTGTGTCTATGTATTTATATATCGATGCTATAGTGTGGTTATTGAAAGTTTTAACAGACTGCCTTGAAAATATTTGCGTTAATTCACAATTACATGATAATAAAGACATTATATTCTATTATCACGTGCTAAAATACTCGTAGAAGCACGTTTCTGTTAGTTTTTTGGAGGTTTGAAAAGAACCGTGAAATGATACTACGTATACAAAGCTTAGTCTCTTTGAAATTTTAAATAAAACTACCTTTTTCAATTTCTTCGCGGATTTGTTTTTATTTTTGACGACACGTTTGGCTCAGTTTGTAGTGATCCTACTTGCTGTGCCAACGGACGCGGGTTCGAGTCCCGCTGGGGGCATTCATTTGTGTGATGAGCACAAATGTTTGTACTCCAGTCATGGGTGTTTATATTTATAATATGTATGTATTTAAAGTTATATATGTACAGTGTATCAGCTATTTGGTATCTATCATAAGCCTCGTAGCTTACCATGGAACTAGATGGTGCTGTGTGTTAATGTCCCAACATATTCATATTTATATTATTTATTTTATATTTTTGGTACCCGATTCGAATGGTTTTAAATTGTAATAAATGAAATTTTCGGTAGATTTATGAAAGGTAAGAAGTATCGGCGAAGAAAATTTATTATTTTTAATCTACGCGAGCAGAGTCTCGGGCCAATGCTCAACTTCATCATAAGAGTCGAAAAACGTTCAGACGTATGGACATAGCCCATCCGCACCCAGTGGAATCCAACGACTTTGACCAAGTCGTCGTTCAACCTTGTGAAAGGCCCACGCTTCGCCAAATTCTAACACTTTACAATCTCATATAAAAATAGCTATCTTTTAAATGTATTTGAAATCCCTTTTAGTTAAAAAGTAATTTATCAAACAAAAATATCCCAAAATATTCATTTTAAATAGCTGGCTGTGACCCTGTAACTACTTTATTTCTAAAGATTCATTCGTCACGCAATCTTTTGTTGCGTTTCAACGAAAATACTCTATTTTGCGTTCAGTGCTATATTGTTTTAATTAATTTTAGTACGTTTTTGTGTTATTAGGTAAACATTTTCCAAACAAATTAATGCTAATACTTTCTTAGATTTACGCGAATATTTGACATTTTCGATAAAACTATCTTTTCTTCGGATTTTTTCGCGGATTTATTTTGATTTTTGGTTCCCGACGTTTCGAATGCTTTACAGTAATCATGGTCACGGGAGAGACTGATTAATGCTAGTGGGAAAGACATTGGTTATTCCGAATATAGTCGGACTGGTGAGTGCTAAAGTGAAGACATTCAGCAGTGTGACTTGGACCTATTTACAGTGTTTAAGGCTTTTCAAATCATCAATATTTTCAATTATTAAAAAAAACTAGCGACTCACCTTCGTTCCGCTCAGGTTCGTTCCTAGGAATGTTTTAACGGTTAGTATAGATTTCTCAGAGATGAGATATTTTCCCGCAGTAAAATATATCTTATATGTTGATCCGGATAACCAACTATCATCATACTAAATTTCATCAAAATCTGTCTAGTGGTTTTCTCGTGAAGCTTTCCCAGACAGATAAACAGAGAGACAAAAATTCTAAAAACTATACATTCGACCTCTGTATCGATAATAACGACTATTTCAATAAGATGTTCCAAAAAATATTTAATATACAGATTCGCCTCAGTTAGAATTTCATTATAAGTATAGATGATATATAGCATATATATAGTCTTTCTCAATAAACGGGCTCTCTAATGCAAAAAGATTTTTTAAATCGGCTTAGTAATTCCTGAGATTAGCGCGTTCAAACAAAAAAACAAACGAACAAATAAAGTCTGTCCTTATATTGTTCGTATACCTAAAGATGTAATAGTCGTATGAAAGTTAATATTTTTGTTCTTGAAAGGAATCACTTTTGTTTTTTGTTGTATAGTATATTTTTAAATTAATACGAAACTGCTATTAGTATTACTGTTAGTATTTTTTTTAATTAATCATGTTTTAGAAAATAAAAAAGGCATTTTCGATAATGCTAAGAATTTTTTTTTTCAACCCTCCGAATTTTGCCGCCCCTAAAAATTTTTCGCCCTGGGCACTAGCCCCGAGTGCCCTTAAAAATCCAGTGCTGCACATAGGATACTGTAAGGCCCCCAGGAACGCAACCAGGCGAAGCGTGGGTAAGACGCTTCTTAATAAGTAATTTCAGAGCGTTTCGCCATTTCGTCACACGGTCATTACTCGTAAAGCAAATAATAAACTTAAGGAACGTGGAAGACTGAGCTAAAATTAAAGTTTATTAACCTTAAGTGAGTTTTATGATAACATTTTAAGATTTTATCTAGACAACGTTTTAAGCACTTACATAATTCGTTGGCTTACTATTACAAGGTTCTATGTTAATTTTAATGAAGTTTAGTAATTTTTACATGGAACTTCGTTATTTTGTTATCGTAAAAAAAAACAACATAGAACTATGTAAAATTGAATATTTTGTAGTTAAAGTGCCGCTATCTAGTGGTTTGTTTTTGCAAAACTGTAGCTAATGACACATAGAACCTTGTAGCATTAATAACTAAATAAGTACTAAAATTGTAACATAGAACCTTGTAATAGTGAGCCAACGATTATTATGTCTAGATCTATCACTCAGATTTGTATACACCTTTTGACATTTTATTAGCCTAACCTAGGTGCGTTTTTTTGCGAGGAACTCTAATTTTTATTCAAAAACAAAAGTAGCCTAAGTTACTTCTTATAAGATCACCTATCTGCCAGTGAAAGTCCCGTCAAATTCAGTCCACTCATTTCAGAGATTAGCCATAATTACAAACATTTTAAAAACTGTGTTTTTCTTGTAAATACCGTATATCATTTTATATGCATATAGTAAAAATCTCTTATTTTGACATTACGCATAGGCACTCCAATTTTTTATTTTTGTATAGACTAGCGGAATAGGGTGGACGTCTTATTTTAAATCTCATTGTGGTCAGAATAAAATCTGGATCTTGAAAGCATCACTTACCAAATAAACATCTTACAAGTACAACAAAATTGGTCAAGCCGTATGAGAATTACAAACACACGCAGATACGAATTAAATAGACATACCCTCGCTTAGCTCGTGTGTGTCCCTAATAGGGTAAGTTTTAATTTGAGCAAAACCCTAATTCTTTTTCTAAAATAAAAGTAGCCTGCCTAAGTTAAACATCAGCTATCTGCCAGTGAAAGTCCCGTCAAAATCGTCCCAGCCGTTTCGGAGATTAGCCGGAACAAACAGACAGACAGACAAAAATACTAAAAACTAGTGACTCGCCCTCGCTTCGTAATTTTTTCTCGTGGGACGATATTTTTTTTCTAAAATAAAAGTAGCCTAAGTTACTCCTTATTACATCAGCTATCTGCCAGTGAAAGTCCCGTCAAAACCGGTCCAGCCATTTCAGAGATTAGCCGGAACAAACGGACAGACACAAAAATTGAATAAAATGTTGTTTTGGTATATGTACCGTGTATACATCCATATGCATTTAGTAAAAAGCTGTTATTTTGACATGAAAACAGATATTTCAATTTTATTGTCTATTCGGTCGTCTATCTGTGAAGACAGTATGAAAACCCATTTGGTAGTTTTTGAGTTTTTTGCGTTCAGACAGACAGACAGACAGACAGACGTAGCGGGACTTTGTCTTATAATATGTATTGATTTAGAAAGGTATAGACTACCTATCACGCTACGAATTTCAGTAGCGAGGCAATAAATAAAACGCCTACGCGACCAGAGCGTAGGTACAAGGCTATTCATTTCAAAAAAGGCAAGTATTTTTCCCAATGACTCAGTTATAAATCCATCGTCTCAAAAGATCTGGAGTTCCAGATCGAGCTGGCTGGCGGCCAACGGTGTAATAATAGCTGTGAGGCTTACCCGAGGTTTAGCATTCTTTAATTTTATTCAAACGACTATTGTGAGATTCAATACAATCTCTTTATATGTATACTCATTACTCGTAAACAGGCAAAGACAAAACGGTTTAGTACTTTTTAACCGACTTCAAAAAGTAGGAGGTTCTCAATTCGATTGGTATTTTTTTTATTTATGTACACTGATTACGCTGAGATTTATGATCCGATTTACGTGATTCTTCTGTAGTTTGATGCGGAATAGTTGCCATTTGATCCCATAAAAATTTAACATAGTTTGGTCCAGTAGTTTTCATTTTCTGAACATTTTATTCTCCTCTGTTTGTCAACGGATTTCCTTTTTTTTCGTTTAGTTTTGCTATTGACGAGGTTTAGTGTTCCAATAATTTTTTTTTGAAAACAGTTTATTTGTTTATTAAATAGATATATATTTTTATTTCCTTGAGCGGGACTCTAATTCTTTTTCTAAGCAGCCTTAGTTGCTCCTTATCGCATCAGGTATCTAGCCTAGCCAGGTATATAGCCAGTAAAATAAACAGACAGACAAAAATTAAAAAAATGCGTTTTTCTTGTAAGTACTGTATTTAATTTTTTATACATTTAGTAAAAAGCTTTTATTTCGATATTACAACAGACCGTTATTTTATTTATATGTATAGATAAATAACTCATTAAAATATGAAATTCGATTCATAATTGGAGAAAATATCGCGTAAAAATCAGTAAACAAAAAACGTATAAACAAATAAAAAATTTCCTTCTCTTTGAAGTCGGTCAAAAATTTATTTAGTTCTAATTATTCCACTGTATGATATCGTGTTTATGTTAGCGCAAAATAAAACATAAAACTGAATTAAGTAGGTACTTCCTCGTCGATCAAAAAGTTGAAAAGTGGCCAACGTCTATAAATTAGAAGATACGTTTAAAAAAAAATATTTTGACATTTTCTCTTGTCCTACCATTATCCCAAAGCTTGTTTATTTATGTCTCATGTCCTAAGGGCCAATGCACAAGATGACTTTTTAAAGCGCTTTAATGTCGTCCGGACGCACGTTCAGACTTGCAACAATCGCTATGTCAACGTATTTTATTGATACATTCGGAAGCAATCTTCATTTTAAATAAAACTATCTTTTCGGATTTTTTCGCGGATTTATGTTATCAGAATTATTTGAAACTTGATATTAATTATCTTTAATTAAATTAAATAAATAAGTGTTTTAGCATTTTTCAAAATTTATCCCATAAGGGAAGGATATAAAAATATGGGATGAAAGTTTGTATGAAACCTAACTATACTTAGGTATTATCTTTAAAATAATAAAACAATATGCATATCAATTTTTTAGCGCGAGCGAAGCCGCGGGTTCTGCTAGTACTAAGATACTTTCGTTTAAAATATCAAGTATTAGCGTAAATCTAAGAAACTATTAAAGGCAGAGATAATAGAGATATAATCTGTTTTTTTTTCTATTTTCCAGTGAAGCTCCCAGAAGATGAAGGCGGCACAGTGGGTGGCAGGTTCACCATTGGTCCGGCACCAGAGCGGGACTGGGAGATGGTGCCGCCGGATGGAAAGTGGGGGTGGTGTGTTCTCGTAGGTAAACAACTTCTGTTTGTTTTTATTTTTGTGCAATAAAAAAATTATGTTGGTTCTTAAAAAAAAATATCTGTCTGTGACTAGTCTAGGTTGTTTGTTATAGTTTACTTAGTATTTTAATATTTTTTAACTTAATAAAATTACAAGAAACTAGAAAAGGGGCATCCATTAATAATTTATGTGAGCTGTTTTTCTTTAGTGAGATTAAGTGAGATTTAGTGGGACAGCCCTCTCCCTCACGTAAGATTTATGCTACAGTTGTAAAGTTGATGTGAGATTTTCAATTATGCCCACCTCAGTTTAAATGAGATTTGATAAGGTTTTTCTGGAAATATACTGGTCGTGTTAACCGATTATGAAAAAATATATAAATACGCACCCAATCTATTCTCGACTTATTGAATAGATAACACATAGTAGTGGATTTAATTATATTATTTTTCCAGGGGCAACATTAGTGAATATTCTTATACCGGGAACGATTAAGTCGTTTGGGGTGTTGCTAGTTGAGTTCAACGATGTGTTTCAGTCTTCCGCCTCGGCATTATCGGGTATCGTCGCTTTATGCTACTTCCTGTACAGTAGCTTAGGTGAGTATTTTTAACGCCATAGATATACTAAATATTTTTAATTTAAGTAAATCCCTTAATGACGGCAGGGACGTATGTGTCCCAAAAAATTGTCGAAAAGTTTTTTGGCTTTCAAATATGATAATTTAACTTAAGCTAGATCATATTAGAGCCTCAGCAGATAGAAATAGGCTCTAATAATTCGTTGTAATTTATGTTCTGTTAAAAGTTGTGTTTTTTTAGAAAAGACAACTACATACATATATAGATAAAAAGCAAAATCTTATCTAAATACAAAGTTTGATTCAAATCGTTAGTCGTTTCAGAGATTGAAGGCCACAAGTTGAACGGCGCCGTTTAGTTAAGAGACTAGGCTGTTAATTGAATGGCTAATTGAGCTAGTTGGCTGCGACATATTATATACAATAATTGCAAATTTATTATTATTGGAGTTATACTTCATTTGGCACGTTTCAAAAAAAATATTAGAGTAAAACTTTTACCATGCGTTTTTGCATTTTTACGGGATGAAATCTTTAGCTATTTTTGTTCTATTACGCCAAAGAAGTATAATTTCTTACGTGCGTACATAAGTACATACACGTTTTTTTTTTAAATTTCAATATTTCATCCCCTACCAGGTCCAATATCGTCCATCCTATCAGTTAGATGGTCGTACAGGACCGTCACGTTGATAGGCGGTTGTTTCGCCGCGTTCGGAATGATATTCAGTAGTTGGGCGTTTTCTATAGGTTATTTGTATTTCAGGTGAGTGTTTTTTTTTTTAATTTTCTTTTTTTTTTTAGATTTACGCGAATATGTAACATTTAAAATGAAACGTAACTTTTCGAATTTTTTACCGGATTTATTTTGACTTTGGTTTCTGATTTTAATTTATGTAAACTATCGATTCCATACTTAATATTATAAATGTGAAAGTGTTTTTGTTTGTCCTTCTCGTCGTAACAGAGTGACGGATTGGCGTGATTTTTTGTGTGGAGATAGTTAGAGGACTGGAGAGTGACGTAGGGTACTTTTTATCGAGAAAAATTATCAGATTCCCACGTGAAAATACTTTATAATAAAACACACAACCTTATCATACCTATATATATTATATATATAGTCTATTCCATACTAATCGTCTGTTGAAACAAACGTACATAGGGACGAACCCGAGCGAAGCGAGGGTGAACCCCTAGTAATAAATGAACCAGAAATGATTTCCGATATTTATTTCAACTATTATTGTTGTTATATGAGATTTTGATACCGTTATAAGTTTATTAAGGTAATTTTGGATAAGGTATTATAACTGCGAATAATATGAAAAAAATGACAGTAAAAAATACGAAAAACATTTTTTTTTTCATTTTTTTTCTTTTTTTTTAAGTTTCGGTGCGATGGTGGGCACAGGTGCAGGCCTGGCCTTTCCACCGACCGTGTATATAGTGACATCATACTTCGTCCGTTTAAGAGGTCTCGCAAACGGCATATGCATGTCCGGTTCCGCCTTCGGCAGTATAATACTGCCGCCGGTCCTGAGGTATCTATTGGAGACTTATGGGTATAAGTGAGTATTGGTTTATATTTTTTTTAATCCGTGAATTATGTTTATGACAGCCGGAGGAGTCAAAAAACCAAAGTCTTTATTAATACTTTAATTAAGATAACTTAAAATAGAAAAATTACATCTAAACCTAATACTATGAAACAATAGTGATTGATGCTAGAGTTATATATTGAATTCTAATTTCTTATTATAATTATAATCGGAAGAATATATAAGATGCTGATGCAGAGATTTAATTTGGGGGCACACGTGTAGTGTGTAGGTGACTCGGGACAGTGCGCGACGTCAGCGTATGTAACACGTGTGTAAATTGTGAGGCGAGGGTGCAGATTGTTGTGCCAAGTTTTTTTTTTTGGAATAAGGTTTTTTTGTCAATTCTTTTTCTTTCTTATCTATGTAGATCTTAGATAGATACTTAATTGCAAGAATGACGATTGGTTTAATTCAAAACAGTTCAAATTCAATTATAATTCAGTAAAACCTTCGCTATCAAAAAAGCGTCTGTCAAATTTTATTTAAGAAATTACCTTTTCTTGAAAATTTCAATAAACTTTTGTCCTTTTTTTTCTTTACCTTTGTTTTGTGGCATATAAAATTTTGCGACTGAATCGACATCCATACCTAATATTGTAATGTGAAAGTGTGTTTGTTTGTTTGTCTTTTTTTTACGTTGAAACAGAGTGACGGATTGGCGTGATTTTTTGTGTGGAGATAGTTGGAGTCTGGAGAATGGATTATCTCATTCCCACAGGAAAACACGTTATAATATAACCCACAACAACTATCCTACCAATTTATAATGTATAGACTATCTACTCCATACTAACCGTTAAAACGTACCGTTCAGGTTCACTATAAAAAAGTGTCTCTAAAATTAAACTTCTTCAACAGGGGAGCGGTTTTAATACTCGGCGGCATTATGCTCAATGTATGGGCTGCAGCATTACTCTTTCAGCCCGTTGAAGAGCATATGGTGAAGAAGTATAAAGAAGTAGAAGACGATGAGGATGGACCGCAGGTAAGAGTGATAGAGAAGGAAATAGAAATTGCGCTTTTTAATGGATTTTACTTCTTTTTTTGTTTTTTTTTTTTTTGGTTTTGGTTAATATGTGGAGTACCAAAATATAGGTAAAATGTTATTTTGCAATTATTTGGAATTTTGTTTTTTTTTTTGGTCGGTTAAAGGAGTGAAATCCCTTAAGAAGCCTTTTAAATGTATTTGTTGCATAGTTATTAGATGAATTTCAGATAGGTTTCGATTTATTGGTATTAAACTTTCAAATATAAAAAGTAATTTCAGTTTCAGAATTGTATGTTGATTGGATTTTATACTTACTCGTTTTTATTAAATTGTATTGTTTTTTTTTTATTAAAATGATAAAGGCCCAATTAATGTAAGGTATATGCGGTAATAAAGTGTGTGTTTTTGAAAATGAACCGAGTCTTCACGATCGATCAGACAAGTAAGATACATTATAATATACTGTTAAAAATTTCTTGCTTTTTGAATAAAAACTATTTTTTTGTTTTTTTTTTATTAAAATGGCTGTTCGTATGGATTCGTTATTCAATGGTGTAAATAATAAAAAATGTAGCTGTTTTTTGTAATATGGTTAAAAAAATAACTTTAACTAGATTAATAATTCAACAAAATATAACGTGTTGTGGCACACTAAAATAGTTTTTATTCATGACTTCATTTTAAAATTTGATGTTACTCTAAATCATATAACACTATTTTTTATACTAACTTATGATTTTTTTTTAATTTAGTGGTAATAAATTGTATGGCAAAATTGACACATATTTTTCTTTTTTTTTAAATTAAAATTAAAGTTACAAAAAACAAATAAAAAAATTAATAAGTTTACTTATAATAAATAATAATAGATTAAAAATATTGTAAATGAAATTGACATCTCAATCAGCCCACACCTGCACAGATAATGAAAGTTTTTTTAACAGAAGTAATTTAAAAAAACATATGACATATTATTCGCACAGATTTATTTGTATACAGCATATTTGCTGTGGCCATTGCGACATAAGATTTTTGTATCTTTGTATTTAGTGCATCACTTTAATTAATACTATCTTATATTTTGACACTGGTATAATAAAAATAAATATTATTTATCTCAAATTATATATTGACTTCAAACCGAAGTAAAATGTATGTAATTGTTCTAAATTTTTATTAACACCTTGTTACAACATTTTATAACAACGCAAACAAAAAAAAATATATGAGGTGTTACTTAGTTATTAAAAATTGAAATTTGCGGATGCTTCGCGTAATATATCCAAATAAAACACAATAGAACTTTTTTAAGTCGGTCAAAAAGATTTATAAATGTGAGTGACGGACGGATAAAATGACGGACAAACAAAGATTCATAAATAACCTCCCAAAAAAATACAAAAAAACAGACCAATATTTTTTCCAAGATTTATTTTTTTTTCCAAATTAATACCACTAATTTAAACATAATATATTATTCTAATATCTAACATACATACGCTTTGCACGCTACTTTACCTCCTCTCATTTTACGCAATAATCACTTTCTTTAACTATCCAGGGGGATTTAGACAAGATGACAGTCTATAAACGCTACCGCTAGTAAAAAACGTAATAAAATATACATATGAAATACTAGTGACTCACACTGGGATAAAAAGCCTATGTGCTATTCCAGACTATAATCTTTTCTGTGCCAAACTTCATCCAGATCCGTTCAGCCGTTCTGGCGTGATTGAGTAACAAATATCTATCCATTCAAACTTTTGCTTTTATAATATTAATAGTATCAAACCGGCATAACCATCAAAATACAATTATAAAAGCGAAAATCGGTGTGTGTGTATGTTTGTTACTCTTTCACGCTCAAACGGCTAGGATGATTTAGATGAAATTTTGACGACATGTTTGCCTCAGTTTGTAGTGACCCTACTTGCTGTTCTAACGGTCGCGATTTTAAGTCCCGCTGGAAGCATTCATTTGTGTGATGAGCACGAATGTTTGTACTCCAGTTATAGGTGTTTATATTTATAATATGTATGTATATAAAGTTATATATGTGTAGTATATCAACTATCTGGTATCCATAACACAAACCTCGTAGCTTACCATGGAACTAGATGGTGCTGTGTGTTAATGTCCCTACATATTTATTTATTTTATTTATTTTTAGTATAATGTTAGACAATGAGCTGGAGTAACACATTGGTTACTTTTAGGCACATAGGGATGCGCCCAAGCTAAGCGAGGGTTAGTCGCTAGTTCCCATATTTTTTTATAATTTCCTGTTAGCGATATCGTTTGTAGAAAGCCAACTTGTGTAACGGGACAGACTTGTTTCATTATCAAAAATAACGCACTTAATATATTATATGTATATATATTTAAGTAAATTTAGATGTAGATGTTTCTATAATGAAAGTGATTATGCTTTTGTGTTGTAGTTTAGGCTTTAGACTAATAAATATGTATGTAGCAATGTAAAAAATAGCTTTTTTTATTTAAAAAAGTTGTTTTTGGTGAAATAATATTTTTTTCGTATTTTTTTTAATTTGCCTTTGGAAAAATTAAATAGGACATCATTATTGTACTATTTTTTTATTATATTTTTTACCGTAAAATTGCTGATATAAGGGCCTATTATGTAACTTCTTTCCTAATAGAGCGGAATGAGAAAAAAAATTGTTCCGCTTCTTCTTTTTTATTTTAATTAAAAGTCTTGATAATAAATGGACAATAAGTAAAAGAAAAAATTATTAAACAAGTAAATAGTATAATAAAATATTTAAAATGGCTTTACCTACTTCATCTCGGGTTAAAGCAAAAAAATATTTTAAGTAGTTATATGAATTGTATATATATATGTATAGATATAGGTACTTGTATATAATATCGTAGTATTTAGTAGATTTGGTGTATTTTTTACTTATATGGGACTAAAAGTTAACATTTTCTTCTGGGAATTTATGTATTTACATATGTAAAATAAGACCTAGTTTAAATTTAATTAATGTATAGTAAATAATTGTTTTCAGGATGACATTTTGTTTGAAGAAGAGGAACCAATCGATGCATTTGACATGACTAATATAGTGACAGACAAACAGAATGGAATGCCAGAAGGCCAAAAGGAGATAGTGCCCCATCTATCACAGGCATATATACATAATAGCCAAAATTGCATGAACTCAACATCGAACCTACGATATAACGCGTCTAAACGCAAGCTTTCCAATGCTAGACCGATGACCAAAAGTAATCTTAGTTCGGCGTCAATAGGCAAATTGGGGTCGCAGGAAACTTTTGGCAGACGTTTGAGCGTAGTCGGGCCAAAAAGAAACATGTCCACGTCTAGTTTTGCATACGTTTCCACTACTATCCACGGTTCAACCCTATCAGCTTTTGAACGGCCAAATGAGTTCGCATCACAGTTCTCACTCAAATCGGTCACGGAGAGTGTTGCTGATGTCGCATATTGTTGTTTCTGCTGCAAACGGAAAGTGAAAAAGGAGAGTAATAAGTTTTTTGACGTATCTCTCCTAAGTGATCCGACTTATTTGGTCATTTTGATTTCAAGTAGCACAGTAGCTATCTCGTGCACGAATTTCATTATTTTGTTGCCATCTCATGCTCAAAATATAGGTTTTGATAAAGCAAGAGGTGCCTACTTACTCAGTACTGTATCTGCACTGGACTTAGTAGGACGTATAGGGGGTTCGGCATTATGCGACCTAAATTTTATGCCAAAAACCTTCTTTTTCGTAGGTGGCTTACTTTTATCGGGTGTTAGCTTAGTTATAATACCATTTTTAGAATCTTACACGACTCTTAGTGTTTTTTGTGCGTTTTTTGGACTCACGTCGGGGGTTAATAATAGTGTAACGACTTTGGTAATGGCCGAGATTTTAGGGGTTGATAGGTTGATGTCGACTTATGGGATAAGTTTATTCGTCAATGGTTTTTTGCAGTTAATTGGACCGCCTCTATGTGGTCTATGGTACGAACATGATAAAAATTTTATAAACATGTTTGTGACATTCGGTATAATTTTTATTGGTGGCGCATCCCTTTGGCTGCTAATGCCCATAATAAATAGACACAAAAAGAAAAAATTGAATGCGCTGGCGCAGAAAGCGTAAATTGTATATGAAATAAAAAAATCGTTCTTTTGGTACGACATTAAGAATTTTAATATATGAGGGTTATAATAAAAATACAATCTGATTTGGAGGAAGGGGAGCGACGTGTAAAATGAAACGTGCTTTCTCTTTTATTTAGAATGAGGGTACAAAAGTTAAATTCACTAGATCTTAATTACTGTTATTTTATTTACTGTAATAGGATCTTATATAAAATAAAGAACAATTAGTTCTAATAAATGTCAATAGATAGTACTATATGTATCGATCTGTTAGTGAAGTTAGTGTAAAATTAACAAAGGATAAAAGCCATTACATAACTTAAACAAATTAATAATAAAATTAATAGCTGTATAATAAGACTGGTGTGCGCAGGTCTTAATATATTTTTTTAATTTTCCACAGCATTATATGTCATTTTTTATTAAATTATCATGTTGGGGTTTTTACTTTTGTACCCGAATAATATAGCGATTGATATTTTTTCTAATGCTAATATTAGATTTTATTTAGAATGGAAACTTCCATTAGCAATAGTGAAGACCAACTTCAAATGACACAAAAAATACATATCATAGACTATAAAAATATACAGGTAACATTTTTTTTGTTGGTTTTTTTATCTAGATTTTAAATTGGGCTATAAAAATAGTACAACATTTTAAATTCGTTCCTAACATTGCCCGCCGCGCAAAATTTTATATTTCATAGATTAGTGGTTTTTTTTAATATCTTTTATGTCATAGATAATAAATACTATTAGTATTTTTACTTTCGTTACCATATTTTAAAAACCAAATAATGATTTAAATTGAAAAGTGATTTTTTTTTTAATAGAGTATTTTTTTATTTTCATCATGTTAAACATACTATTATGTATAGATTATTTGTTTAGGAATTCTAATTCTACTTTAGAATAAACCGATTTTTGTCCTTGTCGCAAAAATATTTTCTTATGTAATTTTTTTTTCTATTTTTAAATACTTTTTTATCGATTTATTAAAAAAAAAGTTTATTCTTGAAATGTGTCTCACATTTTGTTATAAATTTTTCTTATAAATATATATTTTTTTATGTTATAAATTCATATTATGTTATAAATAAATATTGTTTAAAGTAAGGCCAATATTATTTTATAATATGATAAGGAAATACTTTTTAGACATTTTAAAAATTAATATATACAGGGACAGTTATCGTTATGTCAATATGTTATTCAATTAAAATGTTATAATATGGTGTGGTGATGCGTACATAGTACGTAACTTGAGAAATGACAATGACAGCGCAATAAAGTTTATTTTTTGGCAGAAGAAACAGAAATTTCTGGTCGTCGTTTTTTTTATTTGACGCAAAAAAAAACGTTATATTTACCCCATTTTTTCTCAAGATTTTTACCGATCACTACAATTTGATTCTAAAGGTTTACTTTTTAGTATCTTTTGCATTTGTAACGGTTTTTATTGGATTTTTAAATAATTTTATCATATTGAGTAATTTATATTATATTTAAACACTAATGTTTTACATCGAATTGACATTGCGCATACATTTTGAATGAATTTTGACCGTACTTAATACGATTTAGTTTTTTTTTCTGTAAAATTGAGACTTAAAAATATCTTTATTTATTTAAAATTTAAAAGACTACATCAAAATAATATAAGAAAAAATTAAAAATGTTGAGTAATATATAAATGTCGAATTATAAAAAAACGTGAGAACAACTGAAAGGTGCGATTTTACTATTTTTAATAAGAATGTTGCGCAGTTTTTTTTTGTATTTTGTGATATTCTTCCGTTTCATTCCAATTTTATTCCCGATTTATTAAAAAATATAAATAAATTAATTTATGGCTTAGAGAAGTGTTTAGTGTCGTTCTTTGTCAACAGTTTTTCATTCAAAGTTACACAAAGTTCCTGAATATAACTTTCGGTTAAAACCAAATATTTAGAATGAATAATTACGACTCTTCGAGTTTTAGTTTATCTGTTAATTAACAATTAAAATACAAATAGTTATATAATTCTATATGAAATTTTATTACGATGCGGGAATATTTTGTTAAGTTAGGTTTTTGTTATTTTTTAAATTAATAGTTTATACTTGTTGCACTTTTCACGCGCAAATAATGATAATATTCTTTCATTCTGAAATTTTCGACTTGCCAATTATATAATGACATTATAAAGTAATTGTTAACTAGTTTCTTTCTATAGGTATTAATTAAATTAATTTTTGTGTAAATAAAATAAATGTATATTTTATTACACGGTGTTTTATTTAGCTCCCCAGGTTTGAATAGTAAAAATAAAAATTTAAATTAAAAATAATCAAATATACGAAGTGAAATTTTAGATTTTAAAGTTTTCGGTCATTATTTTCTTTTTGTATTGATACTTTTTTAGGCATTAATATCATATACAGTTTAAAATAATAATGGAAAATTAACCCTAATTTCAGTTGGAACCATTCATCGAGGAAGATCCGAACGAGTTAGACGAGACCAACCCTAGAGTTATATTAAATCCCGAGGAAAATACAGACAAATACCACAATGGATCACCTCCAATTAACAAGCAGCGTTCAACAGCAAATTTTGACGAGAAATCACCAAATTTCGCCAGATCAGCAAGTGCGGCCCTCGTTTCCCATATCGAGAGCACGCGTACACGAAAAATATCGACACCCTCTAAACATGGTCTCCAGCACATCTCTAGCAAAATATCAAATCATTTACCAAGCAACCCTTCATTGTTAGAATCTGTTCCTGAAGGGAAGACTAGTAGAGTTAATTCTACTGAAGCGTTTGGCAAAAAATTGGCAGTCCCTAAAACTCCCAAAAGGAGTCCTTCGACATCAAGTTTTCAATATATGTCTACTCCATTCCACGGTTCTACTTTATCAGCTTTCGAGAAACCAAGCGAATTTGCGTCGCAATTCAGTCTGAAATCTGTCACAGACAGTCTAGCGCCCATCACTTATTGTTGTGGATGCAAAAAGTCCAAAGACGATGGCGCTAAAAAAGAACCAAATAAGTACTTTGATATTCAATTATTAAAAGATCCGATTTATTTGGTAATACTAATTTCTAATTGCACATCTGCTATATCCTATACGAATTTCATAATATTAGTCCCATCGTACGCCCAAGAATGTGGGTTCGATAAATCGCTTGGTGCGTATTTGTTATCGATTATTTCAGCTCTTGATTTAGTTGGACGAATCGGTGGCTCTGCACTATCGGATGTAGTGACGACCCCTAAACGGTATTTCTTTATCACCGGTCTTTTGTTATCTGGGATTAGTTTGTCGTTGATTCCTCTAGTGTCGACATATTCTGCGATAAGTGCGTTTTGTTGTATATTCGGTCTCGCGTCCGGTATTAATGTTGGTGTCACAGCACTAGTTATGACGGAAATGCTTGGGACGGAACGTCTAATGTCGTCGTATGGGATCAGTTTATTTATGAACGGCTTGATGCAATTGGCCGGCCCACCCATATGCGGTGTTTGGTTCGAACATACGAAATCGTATAAACCCTTGTTTGTAACTTTCGGTTTTGTTCTCATGTTTGGGGCAGCTCTATGGGGATTCGTTCCTTTTATACACAGACGACGGAAACGGGCACAAAAAATAAAAAATGGCGTTAATAAAGCGTAATTTTTTATTACTTTTATTAAGTTACCACTACTTAATTAATATAAGAACTTTTTATCCAGTTATAGTAATTTTTTTATTATCTTTAATCGATTTTGAAGTAAGTTTTTTTTAATCTGGGACCGAATTATGGAAATAGCAGGATGTTTGACGTATTTTAATTTAAAAAATATGATCAGTGTTGCTATAGTATGGATATACCTTGTACTTTTATATTATATTTTTAAGTACCTAATTTTAAATATACATCAGTAGTATGTAAAACTAGAACAATTTAACTTATAATATATCATACGTTATTATGAAAAATCATATTAAACGAAGATTTTTTTTAGATCTATTAATTTTGTCATTCATTGGTTTTGTATAACTTAAGTTTTAATTAAAATTAACTTTGCGGCTTGTTCTTATTAAATGTATGTATAATGATTAACTTACGTATTTTTTTTAATTAATTTAGTATTATTTTGCCAGTATTGCAATTATATCACATATAATAGGCGGTATTTCGCAAAAAAAACAAACGTCACCAATTTAAAATTTAATGCTACTCAATGTTAATAAGATCTGAATTTCAAATAAAGTGTCGACCTCGGACACAACTAATTTGTATATTATGGGTATGTACCAAAGATGAGCGTTTACATTACGTATGTATATTATTACATAACCTATTACAGATAAATCACAATCGTCAAAAGTCGTCAGAAAAAAGCATCTAGACAATGTATGGTGTGGAAAGTGAAGCGGCTGACTCGCGAGTGGCCAACATACTTTTATAGTAGTCGGGAGATGAATTTAAAGTTGATTGAGAAAACTCTAACCACGAGATGGCGATGTAACTTCGAAACCTATAAACAATGTTTTTTTACACAACCCTTGCGGATTTTTTGGTATGTTTAAAGGCGATTCTAATGTATAGATTTTTATACTGTGGTCACATCATGTATACGAAAGATTGAGTAAAATGAAAAGAGATGAAAGTGGTTTGTTTTCTCTGTCCACAATAAAATATAATATGTAATATGCTTTAAAACTTCTTTTATCGAATAGGCTTTGACCATGAAGGTATTGCCATTATTTTCAATAAAATAGTGTAATTAAATTGATTATGTTAAAGAAATATGTACCTAATACAATAAGAGATGAAAGAAAATGACGTTTGTTGTTAGCTGGGGAAATTAATCTCAAAAAAGAAATTATTTAAAAATCATCTTTGAAATTATTCAAAATTATTGGGTATACAAAGATCAGTTACTTTTTAGTGTTGGACCTCAATCTCAAATTTAGTGTTGCTATGGCAACACTATTCTATGGCTTTATTTTGTATATTTTAAGCACAATATTTGAATATATTGTATTATGTGTAATTTTAATATAACAATAAAACATGTAAATCGAATGCTTAAAATGATATACGCTTATGTCAATTGTAAAAACTAAACATGCCTTAATATTGATAAATAAATATGAATATTTATACTACTTATTTGTGTCTGTTTATTGAGGGCTTACGAAAAGTATTTTTTGTATCGGAGTAATTCAGCCCACAGCTGGGAGTGGACCTACCTACAGTGCAAGGGGATCAGGCATTAGTGCGAGTTGCGGAAACTAGTTAGTTCTTATGCAGGTCTCCTTACGATGTTCTTTTTCACCGTAACACAAGTGGTGATCATGTTGGGAAAGGTAGAAACCTGAATTTGGACCCGCTACACTTGAATCGACTTATTTTTAATTTTAGTATAGATTTCTCAGAGATGGGATATTTTTCCGCAGTAAAAAGTATCTTATATGTTGACCCGGATAACCATAACCCGGATACCATCATACCAAATTTCATCAAAATCTGTCCAATGGTTTTCTCGTGTTGTGTCATGATGCGTTCCCAGACAGACAAAAATCTCCCAGACAGACAGGCAAATAATCTAAAAACTATAGATTTGGCCTTTGATCCAAAAGTTATTCCAAAAAATATTTAATGTACAGATTCGACTCTGTTAGAATTTTATTATATGTATGGACTAGCGACTCACCCTCGCTTCACTAAGATACGTCCCTAGGTACGTTTTTATAAGTACCGTATATAATTTCATATGAATTTAGTAAAAAGCTGGTATTTTGACATTACAAACAGACACTTCAATTTTATTTATCTGTATAGATAACATGTTACATGACTTTATTTTCTTAGCACACTTGAAGACGACTGGAGCGATATGGCTATTTTAAAAGGGGTATAAAATTCTGAATAATGTTTTTAGAAAACAAAATTGAGAAAGAGGATATGCGCGAGTGTGAAAAAAAGAGGATTTTCTATAGGACATTTATAAGAACTCACAAAAAATATTTTGGAGAGGACAAGCTCGGTCGGCTTAGATAGTTATTCTAATAATAACTTTCATCATTAGATTGATAATATATAAAATAAAATTATATTGGTCTTCGATTGGCAAAGATATTGCGTAGCATACACTCGAATAGAATATAACTCCTCCGTTTCTGAAGTTGGTCTATAAATCGTACATAAATAGTACAAGGTGTCCAGTGGGAAAGTCCAGTTTTTGGTTTAAGAAAAAAACATACACACAAAACCATTTAATTTGAATATTTATTTTCATCGATCTAAAGGAAAACTAGACTCAGCGTTTTATCGTAGGTATCTCTCACTAAATAATTCTCAATACACGTTTTTTTAATTGTAATGAAATAAGTATAGCTAATTAAGGGCGCCAAAGGCATGACTCGCCCGGGGCGCCCAGATGGCTAAGGCCGGTTCTGTTCGTGGTTTATACGAATAGTTTCGATTGTAGCCCCACAAAAAATAACTGTATAGGGTGAGGTCGGATGGCTTATGAGACCAGCGGAAGTCCCCGAACCTCTACTAATTCTCACTTTTTGAGAAAAAAGAGCTTGCACCAATGAGGTTATATGTATCATTAGGTACATATCGACTCTGGCAGTACCCCATCCTGTTGAAACCATGTGTTCCTGTTAAACTGTGGATCGATTCGTACAATGTTCATGTTCCTGTACCTATCGCTCGGAATTGACTGTCAATGCATGATCATTCATTCATCATGAATTCATCATGGATTCGTCGGAATCTTTTTTTTAATGTATTTTTACGGATTACTTAAAGACGCCTGAACAGATTTGAAAATATTTTTCTTTGTTTCGAAGGGTATACTTCTTAGGTGGTCCCATTTAAATTTTATCGAAATCGGTCAAACGGTTTTGAAAAAATCAGCAACTAAATATATTTATTTAAATAAATTGCTTACCTAATCGAATATGTTATTAAAAAACTTTTTTATCAAAATTACCTGCTTATTACATCTACATTAAAAATGGAATAATAAAAACAAAAAAACCGACTTCCAGGCACTAAAATGTAAAAAATATCTGAACGGGGGTTTTCATTTAGAACAGATATTTTCGGAGTCGATGCCAGGCGACAATATTTTAAGATATGAATATCTAATAGGTAAATATGATTAGGTATGAACTCCAATATAGTTAAAATGTTATATGTATCAATTTGTGATGTATTTTACGTATCGAAATATATTAAATATGCTTTGCATCTCATTCTCAAAGAAAAACGGACCAATGACACCGCTAGCGGATATGGCGCACCAAACTGTCACCTTTCGACTCATAACTGTCGTTGATGCCTCTCTTTTGGGTTCGTTGGTGCCCAATATCTGCAGTTTTGTTTGTTTACGTAACTTTCCAGGCGAAAATGGCTCATCACTGAAAATAACTTTATTGAGTCTGCGCTGCGTAGGAAAAAATTCCAACATCCTTTCAGCACAAGATTTCCGTCAAACGTACTTACTTTTCTTCAAAACTTGCACCTATTGGATTTTGTAGGTATGATAACGTATTTTTTCCTGATTATAACATGAACAGTAGACTTAGAGATTCCCAAAACGGGCGATGCTTCCGTAAAGAACACTGCGCATTTGCATAGACCGAATCACTCGACGCACATTTTTTTCAGTTGGTACAGTAACTGTGGGGCCAGGAATGAGTTAATTATTAGCAGAACCCGTTTGACGAACTTCTTTATCCACTGTTTTATAAGGTAAACACTTGGGGCATCTCTGCTTCGGCGAATGTTGTAGTGAGAACAACATTTTCAACCGACTTCAAAAAGGAGGAGGTTCTCAATTCGACTGTATGTTTTTTTTTATGTTTGTTACCTCCGTCATTTATTAACCGATTTGGACAATTTTTGTTTTGTTTGAAAGGGTATACTTCCAGATTGGTCCCATTTAAATTTCAAAAAAAAAATACCACCCCTAAGGGTGGAAAAACAACTAATAATGAATTTAACCTACTTCTAATTGTCATATTGACTTGAAACTTTGCAAGAATTTCTATTTCCGTTGATAGTACAGTGATTCGGTGTTGTTGACCTGATCTGATGGCAAGGCCAGAAGGTGGATAGGTGGAACTCTTTAACGGCTAATAGTAGATACTTTGAGTTTGGGCTTATTTTGTTTGATTTGACAAGCCTAACACGTTAGAATCCTTACTTTGCTACTACTGTCTACACTAAAAAGGGAAAAATAAAAACTTTTTAACAAAAAAATAAAAACAGACTTCAAACAAAAGCACTAAAAAGTAAAAAATAACTGATTGGTAGTTTTCATTTACTATACGTACCTAATCAAATATTTTCGAAATCAGTGCCAGCCCATACAAAGCAAAGCACACCGACTTCGAAAATATTTGATTAGGTATGTATAGTAAATGAAAACTACCAATCAGTTATTTTTTACTTTTTAGTGCTTTTGTTTGAAGTCGGTTTTTATTTTTTTCTTAAAAAGTTTTCTATGGGCAGCTGCGTACGTATCACCATCCTTAAAATAAGCTTCAATAGCAAAAGTACGGTGCGCTCCAGACCAACATTTCATCGTGACTGCTATTTGCTAAGCAATAATAATTAATAACCATAAATCAACACGCCTGCAGCCTGACGCCGGACACGTTGATTGATATTTATTTATTTATTATAAAGGCTTACTAACTAAATTTACATAAAACATTTATTTAACATTATAATTTTACCTATTTGTATATAAATTTAATATAAAGTATGCACAGCTTTTTATAGAAGAATTCCATTAAATATTTATGTGGTTAAGAGTATATAAGGAGCCATTTCAATTGTTCAATAAACAATAGCTTAAATACCCTCCGCTTCCTCGCGTAAGCTTAAAATTTTGAAATTTGAACTTTCCCACTGGATACCCTGCCTATTTGTAAATAGATGTATTATAATATATTATAAAGTTATAAAAATAAGATAAAAATATTAATTTTAATTACTCAATGTAAACATTGTACATGGCAACAATGAAACTAAACGTCATAAACAAATATGGCGTTGAAGCTTTGTTACGTTGTATCTGTACATATACGTCCAATTACGGTCTAATAATTTATTTAAAAGCAACGCTTCCTTATTAGGGATATGTGCCTATGATAGTGAATTATGAATTTCAATCTTTATAGTACCAAGGGGAGATATAAAACGCCACCCAGTGTACAATTTTAAAATAGGTATGTATCGCAATTTTTATTTACAAAAACATTGTTATTTACTCAGGAAATAACAAAAAAACGTTGCATGATAATGTAATGCGTTTACAAACGCGAATAAATGTTTATTAATTATAATAGAAATTTATTACTTTCACTTTTATTAAGTGTCACAAAGTTGAGGCCTAAACATTCTTTGGAAATGACTCACATAGAGTCCAGTGTCCTCTAATTAATGCTGGCTTCAAACAATTGATTTTAATCATTCACGCCAATTATTTGCTCAATTTCTGTGTAAAGAAACCGCGCTTTTGTAGTCGTCTGTATGTATTATTAACAGCTGAGTAATTCTTACATCATGTGCAATCCTTTGAATTGTTTAGAATGTTGCAATTGCATACTGCAATTCTTTGTAACTCCTAATACTTAATTAATTTTGGAAACTTTTCGTCCGCAATTATAGTGACAACACTTAAAATGTAATGAAATAAAAATAGTGCTTACATTAAAGCTTAATAGTGTATTGTTTTGCTTCTCAGATACTACAGTATGTAGCTGGTGTAATTAATTAACTTATTTTTAACATTAATGTATAATGTTATGTGTTGTTACATATATGTCTTGACAAAACATTTGGCTCAATTTGTAGTGACCCTACTTCCTGTGCTAGCGGTCATGGGTTCGATTCCCACTGGGGGAAACTTGTGTGATGAGCACAAATGTTTGTACTCCAGTCATGGGTGTTTATATTTATATATGTATGTATTTAAAGTTATATATGTGTAGTTTATCAACTATCTGGTATCCATAACACAGGCCTCATAGCTTACCATGGAACTAGACGGTGCTGTGTGTTAATGTCCCAACATATTTGTATATTTGCAGGTGGCTTTTTTACACAATGTCTTCAGGTTATGATGAAGGTCCAGTATATTACAGGGAAATACAAAAGAATGCATATCTCAAGAGAATACCTAATGATATTAGTACAAGTAAATTACGGCCATTGGGTCATAAGGTAATATTTTTTATTCTTTATTTATATAATAATAATTGGGCTAAGTTCGTCAATTGTTCCTCTCATTAACTCATTTGGTATTCCATCAGGGCCCGGGGCTTTTTCTAGCTTTTGGGATTCTATCACTTTCCTCACCTCTGAGGAGAGTATGTCTGGTACTGGATAGTCATCATCCTTAGCATTGATGTCGTTATGTCTGGTTGTCAGTAGTTGTGATATTATTAGAGTACAGCAATCGATAGTAATCTGTGGCTAGCTTTAAAATTAAATAAATAATAATAATAAAGCCTTTATTTCTGAACTTTCTTACATTTTATGATTTAAACTACAATATGTCTCTGCTTAAATTGTATATATTGCTCTGTTTAAATCGTAAAAATATTTATAAAATAATTTTATTGTCCTTATGAAGATGATGATGAATATAGAAGATTTGGTTTAATAAAGGACCAAAACCCAGGAAAAGATTTTTTTAGTGATCCATACTAATATATATTATAAATGTTAAAGTTTGTGAGGATGGATGGATGTTTGTTACTCAATCACGCCAGAACGGCTGAATGGATCTGGATGAATTTGGCACAGACATAGATTAAGCTATTTATCCCGGAAAAATGTACGGTTCCCGTGGGATATATTTGTTTGTCTAGGAATGAACCCAAAGCAAGGGCGAGTCGCTGGTTTTTAATAACAGGGAGGCAAATAATTTGATTTTATTTAAAATTTACCCACAGAAACCCCCCTTAAAACCAATGTGGACGCTATTTTGTGTTCACAACGGTCGCACCCCCTTCCTTGAACAGTACCCGGATGCTGACTCCCCAAACACGCTAGCGCACAAGCCTTTGTGGCGAGCGTGCTTGAAAACTGCACGTCACGTGACGGCCAGCGTGAAGCCGCATGTGGGAGATGAATATGATTTCCTAGTGGATACAGACCACGGACCGGTTAGGATGCTGGCACCTGATTGGTGAGACTTGTTTTTTTTAAATATCTCTATAGTAGGTTCATGTTTGTAACATTACAGGTACATATTACTAGTTTTTTTATGAGTAAGTGATAAATATTTAATACAAGTAACACCCACAAACATACGTCCGTGCCTTTTTTGAGCTATTTTTACGTTTTGTTGTTATTTTTTAAATATTTTACTAGCATTGCCCGCGGCTCTGCCCGTGTTCAGATGACCAACAACCAAATTCTTAGGTTTTACATATTAGTATACTCTTACATTGCAATTTTTGTATTTTTTCTCAGAAATAAGATATTTTTCCAGGGTAAAAAGTATTCTATATGTTGACCCAGATAACCAGCTATCACCATACCAAATTTCATCCAAATCCCTCCAGTGGTTTTTCTGTGATACGGTACAGACAGACATACAAAAATTCTATAAACTATAGGCTCGGCCCCTGTATCGATAATAATGTCTATTTCAATAACATTTTCCAAAAAATATTTAATATACAGATTCGGCTTAGTTACAATTTTATTATATGTGTAGATTTTATTTGAGATAGATTCGTGCGTGTACAACTTCGAATCAAAAATGTTGCGAAAAAAAAACTAAATAAATATTTAGTACACAGTTAAATGATGAGCTGGAGTAACACATAGGTTACTGTTAGGCATCCGAGGGAAAAGCAAAGTCGCTTATTATGGGATGAAACTAACCCACATCTTATCACTAGGGATTCAATGCAAGATTGGGTCGCGTTACTCCGTACCAAACTGCACGAGCTACGCATATTGTCTCGGGGTGAGAATGTGTACGGAGCACCCCCCGTAGCACCACCTCCTAGGGCTGCGGCAAGGGACCCAACATCCCCACTACCTCCAACACCCCCCGTGCCACCTGATCGGTGAGTTTACAGCAAAAAATAAAAAGAATAATTAATAAGATATTCATTAACACCAGATTAGTTTAAGAATTTAATGAGTTGAAATTAAAGAAATATTATTGTAATATAAGAAATACTTAATGCATTCCTATAAAAAAAATGTTTTGTAGATCTCTGTTATTTTGAAATTAGTGTCTCATAAAAACCCAGTATATATAAATTATATTTTCAAAATTTGTTTGTATAAAAAAGTCTTTACTGATATTTGAAGTAATGTACATAAACTAATAAATATAAAAACTTCTTTTCAGAGTGCCAGGCATAGATTTGACACCTATAACACGTGCAGTCGAAATAGAACCGTCGAGAGAAAATATTACGACTACAGCACAATCGATTACTACGACCGTTTCATCTACAACAATTACCAATACTACCAACACAATAATACCAACTTCAAGTACACAAACTGCCAACATTCAAAAACAAAGTACCCCACAAATCGCACAAAGTGTCCCCCAAATCACACAAAGTGCCCCATCAAATCCAATTCTCCCAATCCCTAAATCAAATTTGACATTTTCCAATGTAACTTCACTGGCAAATTCATTGACTTCAACTGAAGTCGACATATCAAATTGGGAGCCCTATTCGCTGCCAAGCACGAGTCGTGAAGCCGAGCCAAAGAGTATTAAAGTGTGCGGACAAAATATATGTTTGGACGATTCGATTTTCAAAAGAGATGTGACGGATAGTGACGAGGAGTTCTTCAATGAAGTCGACCGACTTCATGATGAAGCTGAGCAACTTCAGGATGAAGTCGAATTCAAACAGAGGGTTGTGGTTAATAATGAAGAGAATACAGAGAGAGAGGAGAGGTGAGTGTTTTTAGGGCCACTAGACCAAAGAAACATGGTGAATGTTTCATAAATTACTACATTATAAAATAGTGGTCTCCATTGTTCTGATTTTTTTCTATTCGCACTAGTCTCAGGAACTGCTGAACCAATTTTCGTAAGATTTTTACCTTTAGAGAGAGATTATCTAGGAAGATTTTGGGCTTTACTTTATATACTTATTGCGAAAAGAAACTACCAATATGACAATATTTGTTAGTGAAGACGAGTAATTTAGTCTCTTTTTGAGAGCTTCCATAAAACAAATATGAAGTGCACCTACAGATGGGGGTGGATTGTAATATAATACAGACGACAAAATTGCCTATGATGCAATCTATGTTATTGAAAATAAGGAATATGCGTGATTTTTTTTTTATTTTTTTTTATACAACATCGTTATATAATTGTAAAAAAATTATCCTTCTCCAAAAAACTTAAATTTAGTATATATTTTTTTAAATAATATACTGATACGGATACTTTAAACGCCCGCCATTCCGAGCGCTCGTTGTGACGTCACAGTGCGGTATACACAGATTCAGTGATACCAATTAAGCGCTAAACATTTTCTTAAATAAAAGTCACATTCTGTCATTAACCAATGGCGTGCGTTTCAACTACTTTGAATTTCACACCTATATTTGCACTTTTTAATAATAATTTTCTTATCAAAAAGAAGTTACATTAAAAATATTGATATAGGCTTAATTCAAAAGCACTGAAGATTATAAAAAAGTATTTCACCTTTATTTAAATCACACGCATATTCCCTATTTTGTGTGTGTATTGAAAATCAGAGCAGTAAATTAAATAGTAGGAAATGTACAAACACAACAACAATGTTGCTTTCACATTTATAATATTGTGGATGTACTTATAAATTTCTTTCATATTACATATATGTATATTCTTTTAAATTTTTGAAATTTTTTTTTTATTGCTTCCAGTGTCCCTCAAAGGTCAAACGTTACAGTGATACAAGTGTCCAACAAAGGTCCTCCACACACGGCCATACCGGTCCTAGGACCCGAAACTGACGTTTTTGACTTTGAATTCAAACAAAAACTCACGATACCCGAAGAAAATAATCAAAACTTCGTGAATATTGTGAACACCGAAACTAGTAGTTACGGTACGGTGTTCGATAAGCCGTCAGAATACGGACACCTCAGCCTCACGACCACTGTCAGTTTGACAGGTGACAAGACAGCTGTTAACTTGACAAGTGACGGCCCCGTCAGTTTGACAGGCGCTGTCAACAACAACGGTGTGTACGAAAGGCTTTGTATGGCGTCTACTTCAAACCGTACAGCCTCACCGTTATCCGTTCGGAAAATTAAAAGTATAGATAAAGTTAGAAAATCATCGTTGCCAAATTTGGAAATTGAATCAGATTACGAATATTTATTTCCGTCTGGCAACACCGTCACTAATATATCTAACGGTAATAACTTACCAAATCGCGCTATTCAAAATGGCCGATCGAATTCTAGTCAAGTTGGCAATATTGGGACGCAAAGTGTTATGAATAATGGCAATACCGTCCAAAATGGACCGGAACCGGAAATATCAAGGAATATAGATGATATAAGGCTGCGATCGAACGTGGAGAGATCTCAAAGTCAAAATGCATACGACATTGCTCCAAGAAGGAGAGAAAATAGAGTACAGAATAATGGTCCGAAACGAGAAGGAAAGAATGGTATGTTTTATTTTTTTTATTTTTGATAATACTTTTTTAGATTTACTCGAATATTTAGCAATATAAATAAAACGGTTTTTTTGGGTTTTTATGATGACCTTTGAGACATATAAAACCTCAGTCTCTCCCGTGACCATGTGCGCTGTAAAGCATTCGAAACGTCGGTAACCATAAATCTAAGTAAATCCGAAAAGATAGTTTTATTTAGAATAACCTTTTGACTAACCATATTGTTTTGGACTCGTTAAAATGAAACAAACGAGCCCCAACTCTATGGTGTTAGTAGTAGCCATTGAAGACTTCCACTATGATCTGCGACCAGCATCAGATCAGTGTGATGGTGTCAAATTGTTTTATTGTCATCCAGATTTTAAGTACCTACTGAGAATAATATTAAATACGACATTAAAACGTTTGGTAAAATATTTAAAAAAGTTTGCATAAAATAATCATTTTACCTCTAGACTAAGATTAATCTTCAACATTTATTATGTTAAAAAAAAAAATTGACAGGCAGATAAAGAGCTCAGAATATAAAAAAGTTAGGACTTGAAGTGTTTTCTTTGCAATATGAAAGAAAGTATGATTTTTTTATTTATTTGATTTCTGTAATCCTTTATAACGCTTAAAAAAAAGCTTAAAAGCTGTAATATTCAGTGTTTTTTATTGCTTATTTTAGATACACCGGAACTCCACCCAAAACCAATATGGCGGCGTGGTTTAACAGAGCTGTCTCTGTTGAGTCGACTCCGCGGGATAGCGCAGACTAAACGACAGGAGAGTCCCACTAGAAATGAGCAAGAAGATAGGTAATAGTTAGTGGACATACATTAATTACATGAGATATTATGTTTCAATTTGAAAAAATCTTCAACATCCCTCCTTCCTCTCTATCCTGTGTAGAAACGTGTCTTATTTTAATAATTAAAAAACAACATGAGGTACAGGGGGTTTATTTAGTCTTCAAATACAAAAAGGGGAGAACACTTTCCCTGTAGCACATATATATCCACCATGGGGGGACGCGTCCGTGAGATGGTTACAGATTAGTAATGACCTCCCCCCCCCCTTCTACCCTCTCGACTCCTTCCCCATTCTCCTAACCTTCCCTCTTTCTCCCTCTCTCCCCCTGCTCTCTCCACCCTCTCTCCTCTTCTACAATTTGTCTGTGCAGTAGTACACTAATACCTTCTGCCTAAGCGACTTTTAAAAATGGCCGCCGTGGCCGAAATCGGTCAGGTGTAGGGTATATTGGTAAATTAATAGGTGACCGCGTTTTTGTTTACAGAGGAGTGACGTCACCGGCCAAAGTAGTGCACAGATCTCGACCAGCCGCCAGAGTAGACAGTTCTAGAAGAAGAAGTAATTCTCTGACTAATAGTGAGTATGGTTTATTGGTGGAAAGTTCTAGGTTCAGTTCTCGGGTGGTATAAGTTACTATATTTGGCTACTACTTTTATAGGTAAACATAGTTATTGCGAGTGTACCTATGGAGATAGACATATTATGCTGTCGTAGACTTTTCTGTAGGACTTTTTAAGACCTACAATCTTCTAATAGATACATTGTTTTGATGTGCATATCTCTTAGATTTCTAAGGACTACTCGATAGAACCAGTTATTGCTTTTTTGCCATGGGAACTAAAGATTTTCCTGTAGTAAAAGGTATCCTAAATTTTGACCCGAGTAATAAGTTAGCACTACACAAAATTTAGTCAATATCAGTACTTTTTGCGTAAAACGCGCACACACAAACAGACATACAGACAAAAACTTAATAACTATTGTTTTTTGGTCTATATTCTGTACACAATATGTTACAGTCATTGTTTTTAAAAAATATTTCATGAACAGATTTTGCTAAGTTACGAGTTTCTTCTTCTCCCTGCCCATTTCCCAAATCACTTGGGGTTGGCGCAGTACATCTTCAGTGTACTGCTGATAGGATTTGGCAAAAGTTTTACGACCGGCCGCCTGCCTGACGTCAACCCTCCTTGGGAATGCTATTGTCTTTGTCTGAATGGTGTTAAATATTATGCACTTTCGATTTTGTTGTGTTTTGATTTTGCTAAGTTACGAGTACTATTTTATTATATTATGTAGGTTATATTAATTGCAGTAAAGCATTCGAAACGTCGAAAATCAAAAACTAAATGAAAGTGCCATAATGTAATAGCATTTTTTAAAAATTTAAATATTAAATATCCCCAGGCCAATCCCCATCGATCCCGGCGAATCCCGCGCTACAACCGCTCCGGGCGCGGCAGGTGGCAGCACTGAGAGCCGAGCAACGCCGTGGCGCTTGTGTAGTGGCGAGTGTCCCGGTGCGGGACGCGCCGCTGTTGTGCGAGTACGAGAAGCAGGTTTGGTGAGTTGGGATTGCTTGGTGGGATTGTTGGTTTTTAGAGTAGGGAAGTTGTACTTTTTGTTTGATTGTCTGTTTGTATGAGATGTATGTACTTTTTTATTAGCGACTTGCACCACCTTGTGGTAAATATTATTGCTATCGGCAGTCAATGTGGTATAAATAATAAATATTTCATAATAAATCATAATTGCAATATGATTTCAAAGAACAATATCACGATCTACATACACAGCAACACACAAACCAATCTCGGGACGAAAATTTTCCCCGGGATTCGATAAACATTTCCGGGATTCGTCTTTTATTTTTAATTTTTTTTTAATTTAAATCAGGATAGCGCGGTGGGGTATAAGCGGGTACAGGTGCGGGGGTCGCGTGGGCGACCGCCTCGCGGCGCTAGCGGGTGCTCAGGTGACCGGTGTGGCGCAGGCGAGGCAGTTGTTGAAGGGTGCTAGTGCTCCTGTTGTAAGTGTTGTTTGTGTATTTCTAGAGTTTTAGCGAAGGATTAGGATTTTGTTTGGATGAATGTTAAATTTTTTTTTTGTAATAATTCCTAATTTTTTAAGATCTGGATTATTGGTAATTAAAGATTAGTGGTAATTTTTTTTTTTTTTTTTTCTTTTTTAATAATTTCAAATTTTTAAAATCATTTTTTTTTTATTTCTTAATAATTCAAAATTTATAAATTCTAATGTATGATTGTTTATTAAAATTTTGTAATAATGATTGTATCAAAAACAGCAATAATTCCAAAACTTTTAGAAATTCACTTAATTTAAGCCTTTTTTTTCGCTTTCCAGGTAGACCTACTGTTCCACCGGGTGCCGCTTGGAAAAATATATGTGGTTTACAAAAAGGATCGCGAAAATTTAGGTCAGTGTTTTTTTTTAATTTACTTGTTGCTCCTCTCGCATTACCGTGTGTATGTATAGTTTTTAGAACTTTTGTCTGTCTGGCTGTGTGTTACCGCATCACAAAAAAACCACTAGGGGGATTTTGATGAAATTTGGTATGGTGATAGCTAGTTATCCGGGTCAACATATAGGATACTTTTTACCGCGGGAAAATATCTAATTTCTGAGAAAAATACAAAAACTGCAATGTAAGAGTGTACTAATATGTAAAACCTAAGAATTTGGTTTTTGGTCATCTGAACGTGGGCGGAGCCGCGGGCAATGCTAGTTGATAATATGTATGTGGCCTGTTATTACAGAATTATTTCTTTTTAAGGGTCTCGTCGGGAAGAAAAATAAATGAGTAGAGATAAATGTCAAAAGATGGCGTTATAAGTTTTGTTATTTGTGTTAGTGTAAAATTATTGTAAAAAAAATTGTAGGTAGATCTTTTATATATATATATATTGTATTCTACTTTTGAAAATAATATTGTCTAAAGGAAAATTTCATAAATTACCCAAATCTGTTTTAAGGAAACATCTCGAAACAAATCTCGGTAACTTTATTGATTTTTGCAAAATCGGCCATTCCACATGTCTCCGTCTAGCACTCATTATCTAAGTGTTTGTTCTAAAATGACTAAAATATATAAAAAATTACAATAATTCTATTTTATTATTTTTTTCAATATACATTTTCTTTCTTGTAATTTAATAGTGTATTAACTTTTGCAATTATTGTCGTTTTACCTATCATTGCTTTTTTGTACTGAAATTTTAACAATTTTTTGAATCTAAACCTATTTTCCAGGTATTAAGTTAGATAACGAATGTACAATTACATCAATATCGGCGCAGTCGCCGGCGTCCCGAGCGGGGCTCCCCGCGCGCGGCAAGTGGACCCTCACCGAGATCAACAACCGACCCCTCGGGATTGGGAAGGTGGGGATTCATTCCGGGATTAACAGAACTTCTCAGTGCTTATTTGTTCAAACCACCAATACTTGTACTTTACAGTAGAGACGTTTTTTTCCTCTATTTCAAAAACAAACTTTTATTTCTAAGATTTATATACATACACTAGCAGAACTCGCGGCTATGTCCGCGTTCAATCTACAAAAAAAAACTCTTTGGCCTTATGTTATACAGCTATATGTATTTATATAATATTGTTCATACAAAAATACTGAAATTGCGGTTAAAAAATCGGGGGTGGGGGTAGGAGGGTGAAAAATACTTTACGACCTACACTCATATCTACCAAATATACAAAAAAAACATTAAAATGGGTCGAGCCGATTCGGAGAAGTACGACCACAAGCACCGTGACACGAGATATTTATATATTACATTTGTTTAGCTATGCTTTGTGTGATTAGCACGAATGACTGTCGTGGGTATTTATATTTATAATATGTATGTATTTAAAGTTATATATGTGCAGTGTATCAACTATCTGGTATCCATAACACAGGCCTCGTAGCTTACCATGGAACTAGATGGTGCTGTGTGTTAATGTACCAACATATTTATTTTTTATTTATTTAAACACATGTATATAGATCATCAAAAAGATCAAGGACTGACATTTTAAAGTCAATATTTCTTTATTATAAACTCTTAAAGGAATTATTAAATGTAAATTTGAAAGATGTTCGAATATATTTTTTTATAATTTTCTTTGAAGTTATACTTCTTTTGGGACGTTTAGAAAAAAATTATGAGAGTAAAATTTTTACGATGCGCGCGCATACCGACAGCCAAAAAGCGACATGATGAAGTTAGCTGCATTCCTTTTACAAACAGAGAGTTGTGGCATACGGGATGAAATCTTTAGCTATTTTTGTTCTGTTACGCCAAAGAAGTATAACTTCTTACGTGCGTATATAAGTACACACACACGTTTTTTTTTCAGGGATGTGAAGAAGAAATGAATAGGTTAGCGTGTAACGGCACGGAGGTGTCGATTTTGATACAACCCGCAGCTTTAGTGAAGAAAATAAGAGCAGCTATAAAGGCAAGCAAACCCCTATTGGGCATTAGATAAGTGAAATGTCTATTATACAGTAAAATTTTACAAGATTTTGTATGAAATTTTTTCTGACTGACCGAATTTTTGACGTTTTCCAAGAAAATTTTTCAAGTAAAATTTTTGTTTTGTGTTATATATGAATTTTGAAAATTTTCACTTTTCACTGACTGACCAAATTTTTGATTGTTATTAATTTAATTGAAATTTAAATTATTATTAAATTGTGTCCAATTAACATATAATATATATTTCATATTTTTAAAACTGTAATAAGAATTGATTTTACAATCGATTTTTAATGATGAAGGTTAAATTTTTAGAAACTTATTTGTGGGAAATAAAGTATTTTCCCATATTGAAATCAGGTTATTACGAATTATATCGGTTTGAATGAAAATTTTTACATATCGAATTTTTTAAAGTAAAATATGAAATAAGTATCTGTTTTAAATATTTTTGTAACCTGTACTAATATATTATAATACAATTTTAGAAATTAGTAAGCTCTTTCACTGAAAATAAAAATAATTTCAATATAAAATTGAGTTAAAACATGTTAAAAGATAAAAAGTGAATTTAGAATAAAATAATTTTATTCAACACCAAAAGTACATACGAAGTCACATTAATAATTATTTAATATAAAAATAAATAGCACAAAATATATAAATTTATTCCTAACAGAATCGCTGCTAATATTGCTATTTTTTGTTTAATTGTCATTAACAATGTATTTTTTTTTAATTTTATATGTCGTTACAAAGGTGAAACTCACTAAGTCCGGATTAACATTTTTTATCTGTGGAAATTTTAATATATAATAGAAATACTTTATTTGGAAAACAGATAAAAATAAATATGTCACAGAATTTGTTACTTTTCATTATCCATGCAGATAAATAAAATTGAAATGTCTGTCTGTAATGTCAAAATAACAGCTTTCAAGTAAACTGAGATTTCAATGGAAAAATCTTATACAATTTTGACTTATCGAGTTATACCTTTGTAACGATTTGTTTATTTCATACCTCAACAAAAGGTTAGTGTTGTTTGGAACAGGCAGCTTTTATATTATTACCATATATATAATGTTTTTTTATTTATTCCAAAAGATATTATCTAGTGTACTAAATCCATACAATTCTAATAGTGCGGGCGGAGATGCTCCCGACTGGCATACATACTTTGATATGGCAGTCGGGAGACGTGTGTAGGGTTGACGCATCGATCAAAAAAGTACTAGATACACAATCAGCGACAAAAAATGTCCTCACCTAATGAGCGCTCATTTGAACGCGCTTTTAATTATTTTTTTTGTGAAAACAAGTTTAAGCATTGCATTTAAAGTTCAATTTACATTGTTGTATATTTATTTCAACTAGAACAATTACCTAAACACAATTGGTGACAGTTTTAAGACAACTTTTGCATGGGATTGTGTATGTAGTAGTTTTGATCGATGGGTAATGCCACGAGATGGCTCCACAGTGATAGCTTTGAAACCGTTCGTTCGGAAATTTATATTTTTCACCTTTGAAGTCATTAACAAAAAAAATGAATTAATTTGATATTTTTAACAGTTAAAAACCATTATTTTAAAACCATTCGTCCGAAAATTGATATTTTTAACAGTAAAAAAACATTCATTTATAACCTTTCGTTCGGATATTGTTATTTTTGATGTTTGAAGCCATTAACAAAAAAATTGAATGGATATTTTTGACAAACCTTAAATTTGACAGTTTTTCTGTCAAATTCAAAGGCGATAGCTTTATTGTATGGATTTTTAAACTGCGATATTATTTTGTTGAAATAATAAACCTATTCTACTATAAAAGTATTCTGATTGATTAAGACCAATATTATGTGTTTTTTTTTTGGGTTTTGGCCATATTTAAAAAAAACAAATTGAATTTAACCTTTTTTTTTATAATGCAATATATTATGTGATGATTATTTACTAAAGCACTAGTACATTATTGTTATATTATATCGGTGTTGTAATTTTGTGGATCGTAGGTTTGATTCTCGTGTCGAAGTAAATATTTGTATGGGTCATACATTTGATATCAAATGTTCAATGAAACGTTTTTTTTTCGCCAAAATTAATAATCGAGATGAGATTGTATTAAATAATTCGTCATAATAGAAAACACGAAAATATATGGCTTTATAAAGTCATCTTTTAGGGGGGTTTTATTTTGATTTTTTTGTTCCCGAGGTTTCAGTGCGAATGACTAACCAACGAACACACGTACCAATTTTCATATTTATAATGGTAATATATTTAAAAGAGGTTTACATAATACTTTCTTAGATTTACGCGAATATTTGACATTTTAAATAAAACTATCTTTTCGGATTATTTCGCGGATTTATTTTAATATTTGGTTTCCGACGTTTCGAATGCTTTACAGCGCACACGGTCATGGGAGAGACTGAGGTTTTAAACGTCTCAAAGAGGTTATTAATTGTGGTCATGATTTATTAACAATACAGGACGTATAATAGTAGAAATACAATTTTTTGCTTCGCCCGAGAATCGAACTTCAGTCCTTTTCTTTATGTTACAACATTCGATATATACTTATTAGATATAAATTATACACATTGTTTTCTTTTGTAATATGAAAGGGTCTTCTATAGATTTTCTTAGGGGTTTGTTGTTTTTTTAATTAAATTTTGTCATCTGTCATAATAAGGGTGGTAGTTCGAATTCCACGGGATAAATGGCAAAGAAATAATAGCTATATACATATAAATAAATTGTGAATGCCATCTATTGATATATTAAAACATAGATACACTCCTAACAAATATCTGTTCAAATCCTGAAAGTTCCAATTGTCTAAACACAAATTCGAACTTACGCACACCACATAAAGTACTTTTTTAAACGAAACAACGTATGTTTTAATTTTGTCATCCGAAAAGCAATGAACAAAAAGAGTTTGAAAAAAGCGCATAATTTTGAATAGTGTATTTCTTTTTGAGGACAGTTTTGACTTTTGTATAACAATAATGTTATTTTGAAAGAAATATTATTGAGAATATATTCTATCGATTATATATATATATATATTCTCAAACTCTGTTAGGATAATATAATTTGACTTGTAATTTGGATCGATGGCTTTACGTGCTCTTCAAAGCACGGGGGTGAAACACCGCCAACTTCCCAACTCCGGGCTGTTACTGAGACTTACTATACAGAAAGACTCAATAACTAAACTAATGCTCGATTTCACCAACGTCACCCAAGTTTAAGGGATCCCCTAAGCATGGTTAGGGGACAGTTTCTGTTTTACCGACAGTTAGGAGTCACCTAAATATTAAAAAGCCCCCTAAATTTAGGTGCTCGAAATATGGGCTTAAAGACGATTGTAAAACGAAATTTAATTTAGGGGCTAGTTTAGGGGACTTTTAAGCTAGGGATCCCATACGTAGGTGGTAGCTTATGGGTTGTTGGTGAAATCGAGCATAACACTCGAACACAGGACCTCCAGATGTGAAGTAAATGTTAACCACTACACCACCAGAACAGTTACAAGAGAGTTTTATAGAAGGCCCTTATTTTTGGCACCATTTTAGATTTTCATTCCAATAAAATTAAAAAAGGATCTCTAAAAGTTAAATGTATTTAATATAAGTTTGTATTTTTACAATGTTTAAATCGTAAGGCATATCTCGAACTTTGTGATTTACTTTTAAATATACGTTATTGAAAGTATTTTAATTTATTTATTTATTGCCTTATTTTCCACTTTTTTATTAAATTATTAAGGACTAGCGACACACCCTCGCATCGCTGGGTTTCGTCCCTAGGTACGTTTTAATTTTTTTGAGCGGAACCCTTATTGTTTTACTGATATAAAAGTAGCCTTAGTTACTCCTTATAACATCAACTACCTGTCAGTGAAAGTCTCGTCAAAATCGTCCCAGTCGTTTCGGAGATTAGCCGGAACAAACAGAGGCAATTTTTTTTTTTTAATTGTGTTTTTCTTATAAATACTGAATATAATTCCATATACATTCAGTATAAAGCTGTTATTTTGACATTTAACTTCAATTTTATTTATCTGTATAGATTTGATATAAAAATATCGACTTCTATACATATAATAAATACTAACTTGAGTCGAATCTGTACATTAAATATTTTTTGGAAAACCTTATTGAAATAGTTATTATTATCGATATAGAGTCCGAATCTAAAGTTTTTGGAATTTTTTGTCTGTCTGTCTGTCTGTTACCGCATCACGAGAAAACCACTGGACATATTTTGATGAGATTTGGTATGATGATAGCTGGTTATCCGGGTCAACATATAGGATACTTTTTACCGCGGGAAAATATATCATTTCTCAGAAAAAATACAAAAACTGTATTGTAAGAGTAGACTAATATGTAAACCTAAGAATTTGGTTTTTGGTCATCTTACCGCGGGCGGAGCCGCGAGCAATGTTAGTATTATATAAAAGGCTCTGTCCTAATTGACTTATAGATCAACGCATAGCCTAAACCACTGGTCGTAGAAACGTGAATTTTTGAAAAACTTATTTCTTATATGATTTAGGCATCGCCGCATCGGATAAGAAAGGAAGCCATGGTGTTTGCTGGGTGTGCTCGAGGGGGAATCAGTATTCATACCTCGAATACCACTGATAAGCTCTGACTTGACTTTTAAATTTAATCTACTGTAATTTCTCTTTAAAGTTTGTATTGAAATGAGTATTAATAAATCTCAGTGCCAGTCGGTAAAAGTAGCAGGCATGGACATAAGATATTTGCTTCTCACATGGACATTTTAACAGAACCCAAAACCAGACGGAACATCCACCAATGTATACAAAGAAGCTTTTAATCAAATTATAACTTCCTATTTGTGACTTTTTAGCCTGGATTAAGTTAAGTGAATCTGGAGTGAGTACATAAATGTACATATAATATTACAAACTTGGTATGACAACATATATATTCAATGTCAAAGGAGTTCCCTCGACTGTCTTTCG